CGCCAAGCCCGAGCTCACCAGCCACTCTGGTAGCGCCTCTGGGATAACAGAATTAAGAAGGAAAAAAAACAACCCAGTGGCAGCTTTTGCAGCGAGAGAGAGGAATGAGAAGATGTGAGAAACTTTGCAGACACCAAGGTCAGTGAAGGAGGGAGAGCAGAGATTCCCCTGCAGACTGTGGAGAAGACTATGGTGAGGCAGGCTGTCTCCCTGCAGCCCATGGAGGTCCATGGGGGAGCAGAGATTCCACCTGCAGCCCGTGGAGGACCTCATGCCAGAGCAGGTGGATGCACCCAAAGGAGGCTGTGACCCTGTGGGAAGCCCACGCTGGAGCAAGTTCCTGGCAGGACCTGTGATCTGATGGAAAGAGGAACCCACGCCAGAGCAGGTTTTCTGCCAGAACTTGTGACTCCATGGGGGACCCACGTTGGAGCAGTCTGGTCTGAAGACCAGAGGAGGGAGAGAAATTGGGAGTGAGGTTGAGCCCAGGAAGAAGGGAGGGGAGGGGGAAGGTGGTTTAAGATTTGGTTTTATTTCTCATTGCTCTACTCTGTTTTCTTGTTAATAAATTAGATGATTTTTTTCCTAAGTTGAGTCTGTTTTGCCCGTGACAGTAATTGGTGAGTGATCTCTCCCTGCCCTTATCTCAACCCACGAGCCTTTCATTGTATTTTCTCTCCCCTGTCCAGCTTATCAGGGGAGTGCTTTGGTGGGCACCTGGCTTCCAATCAGGTCAACCCACCACATCATGTCAAATCTACAAGTTGCCATGTTTTGAGGAGCCTGTGACCTTGAATTAATTCAATCCAGTTAAGAATGCTTTCTCCTTTTTTTTGGAAAGAAAGCAGGCCTCTGTCTAGATATTAGTGTTGTGTTTCAGTCTGATTCCTATTGTGTTTCTCTCCACTGATTGATCTAACAATTATGTCTAAAATTGACATAATTTTACATTATTGTATTCAGTTACTAGAGGAGTACAATGAACTTATTTCTGTGACTGTGCTAGGTGTGAAGTATGGTGAAACATGCTTTATTTTTACAAGTTCAAGTCCTTTTCTATACTCAGATATAACTGAACACCTTTGTAATATCACAGTGCCTAGTATTATTACAATGAAATAAAACTTGTATTTTAGAACAGTAAAGCAAATCAGCTGAAACAGCTTGGAGTGTTACATGTTAATAAAGAGGAAGAGTCAGTGCAGTAGGAGAATTGGATAGAAATGCTCATAATTTCCAGCTAGTGACACTTTGAACTCCTTTTGCTTTTGGTTTTCCCAGGTGACAAAGTATTTTGACTGTAATTTACTGATAGCGTTAGTTCAGTTGTACAAACTGAAGATTTAAACAATGCTGAAGTTTATTTTTAGAACTGCCTAAATATGTATTAATTATCATCATCATAATCTTATTTCCTTCATTCCTTTTGCTCTTAATAGGATATGTTGAATATGAGGTGCTGAGGCAGTACATACTAGGTTGATGTTCACAGTTCTGTTTAGGGAAAAGAAAGTTTGAGAGAGTTGTCTCCTCTGTTTATGCTGTGTTTCATTACCATAGTGCTGTAGACCTTATCTCTCAAATTATTTGTTGCCAGTGAGAGCAATGGGGAGTCCTATAAAAACTACACAGATAAGGTCTGTGGGAGTAAGAATAGCAGTCATTTCTCTTATACTTTCACTGTCTGAATTTAAAGAAACTTGTGCATTTTCGCCTTTACTGTGGGGAAGTGGTCTTGCAGTTCAGTTACCATTAACAGTGAGAGGCTGAGAATACTGAAGATAGGTGTTTGCCCCCAGAGGATGGTAAAGAGTCTTCTCTTCCACCCTCCTTGACTTTATTTCACAGTGCAAACAGTAGTGACTTGTGCCAAACTGACCTAAGGCTAATCATCTTCCAATATTGGCAGAGATCCGGTGATGCTGAAGACTGACTTATTCATCTTTTGATTTTTAATTTTTCTTTTTTTCTTCACCAGCAATATATTAGATGCTGACAATTGAAAAAAAAAAAAAAAACAACCACCAAACAAACAAAAACACAACCCACGTATATTGAAAATGTTTTTGGGATTCCGTTTTACAAATGTATAGATGCTTCTCTTCCCGCTGCCTCAGCAAAAAAATAAAATATTATGAACCTAATCTGTGATTGATGGTATATTTGCCTGTTAATGCTGATGAGGAGACTCATTTGCAAAATATCTTGCATGGTAACCTAGGTTTTATGTGGTAGTCTTCTGTGAATGAAGTGTCAAACACAGGGCTTGGTCCTGCTTATACCTTGTCGTTTCAAAAGTCCCAAGGTTGTGCTGAATGCGAGTGAAGCTGGTGAAGATCCCTGATTCGTTTTTGCATCTCAGTCAGGCTTTTTATGTAAATATACCTCAGCCAAAATTGGCTCAGTATTCTTGAAAGTTTTATTAATGTGGCTGGAAAAGAGATACATTGTGCATTTTGGATCATGCATCTATGTTGCTATAGAGGTTGTTTTGGGGGGGTCCTGGTACATTGGTTGCGTTAATGTCTTACTGTAGTGTTGTTTCTGCAGATCATCTAAATAGCATTACATCCCAGTAGGGAAAAGGAAGTGTATAGCCGTTTCCTATATACTAGTAATACTAGACACTGTTTGGTTATGTTCTATGAATGTTTTTTGTTTTCTTGTCCTTATGGGTAAATAGCAGCTTCTAGAAATGTGGGATACGGCTTGGTTTAAGATAAAGTAATTTGAAGAACGACATTATTGTGTCCAGAGGAGGGTGACCAAGATGGTGAAGTGTCTGCAGGGCAAGACTTCTGAGGACCAGTTGAGGTCACTTGGCTTCTTCATCTTGGAGAAGAGAACACTGAGGGGTGACCTCATTGCAGCCTACAGCTTCCTCAAGGGTGGCAGCGGAGGTGCTGATCTCCTCTCTCTGGTGACCAGCGATAGGGCATGAGGAAATGGAATGAAGCTCTGTCAAGGGAAGTTCAGACTGGACATTAGGAAAAGGTTCTTTACTGAGAGGGTAGTCAGTCACTGGAACAGGGTTCCCCTGGGAAGTGGCCAGAGCACCAAGCCTGTCAGAGTTCAGGGAGCATCTGGATGATGTTCTTTGTCATATAATTTAATTTTAGGTAATTCTGTGAGGAGCGGGGAGTTGCACTCAATGATCCTTATGCATCCCTTTCAACTTGAGATATTCTATGATTCTATGAATATTGTTGTACTACAATGTCAGCCTTCTGATGAGAATTAAGTCGTGGATCTCACTGTCACAACATATTGTAGAAAAGATGATGGTAAATGATACTACTCTTTGGTTAGGCACAGTATGGTAGTTCTTTATTCTACATTAGTTTTGTACCAAATTGTGAGTATTTTTGCTGGTTTTGTCTTGCTTTGAAATGCGTATTAAGAATAATTAACCGGAAGAATGCAGAATAGGAAGCAACTGCCTGAATAGTTGCTCTGCAGAAAAGACTTCATAGCTGTTAAATAAGTCAACACTGCTACATGAATATCTTCCCACATGAATTTCTCACTTCTTCTTATAAATAGGAATATAGCTTGCAGGATGCAGGGTTTATACTGTTGTTCCACTAAGTATAGATAAAAACTGGTGTGGAATATTTTGTCCATTTTTGAGCCCCGCACTTACAAAATGATTTAATTGGATTTGAAAATCCAAAGAATGGTGGAAATGATCGGATTAGAAAACACAACCCTCAAGGAAAGATTAGCCTTACTGCAAATCTTTATTCTAAGGAGAACAACAATCTGTTTGAGTTGTCCATTGTGGGCAGGACAACGAAGAAATAGGATAGTGAAACACTGGAATAGGTTTCTTGGAAAAAAAGTCACCGAGGACCTCGGAGAACAGACTGGATAGACATGTCAGGAATAATTCAGGTGAGTAACCCACTGTGGGAAGGAAGGGACTGAGTGACTTTCTGGAATACTTGCAAGTCTAAATATTGCCAGTGTAAAGGCTGACTTAAATGTTGTTTCCCCCGGAACTGGAACTAACTCTGTGTGAGTAGACTTTTAACTAACCATGGTCAACTTCCTACCCAAACACAGACACTTTTTACCTCTCTTGTCTCTCAGACTCTCTCTCTTTTTTTTTAATCTGTTCTTTTTATTTCCTCCTGGTTATACTATAAAGTCTTTCAATTAGAGACTCATCTTTAAAGCATAATATGGTGGGATTTTACTATTTTAGTCCTGCCTATTATAAAATGTAATTATTAATAACTAATTGCAAGATTAGTGTTTTCCTATATGGAGTGAGAATTCCCTAGGATGTTTGGGAATGGATGTTTATTTTAAAGTAGTATGGTCAACTGAATTTTTAAAATGTTAAGTAGAGTGAATTTCTGAAGGACTTCCTAACTGTCTGGGATCTTTTTAAAAATACTTAGCCTATGGACTAGGCTTGTTAAATAAATTTATCTGGCTTTGTTATAATGAAGTCATTCTTTAGTGTTTTTCTTGAATATGTTTCTTTTAAGTTTTGTGTATTTTTTGTTTTCAGCGAGAGTGTTTTTCTAGAGAATAATAAATCTCAGTCAGAACTCAGAGCATAACCTGGTTATTACTGGCTAGGAAGGCAAGAAGGTATACAGTGGGCTTCCATGTTCAGTTGTTTTAATAAGGGTATGATTTCCTGGGCAGCTGAACAATGTGGCTATTCACCATGCCCTGGGCTGCAAATACATTTTGTGTAACTATGTCATGCGTAGAATGAGAAAGCAGAGCCACCTGAGAGGTAACTTTTGCCTGTGTGGAAAGGGATGCTAGTTTTGACACATGGAAGGCAGCAAAAATATGTCTACGAAGAGAGGATACTTCTCTGTTGAGTTCCAGCAAAAATATGGACAGATTTATTGTACTTGTGACATTGCATCTTCAGTCTTTCAGCAATGGATGGCTTCAGTGTTGTGTGTGTATATATATATTTCAGTGTATACTGACTAGTATGTAATTACATACATACTTTAGAGTGTATATATAAGTAGCTTATATACTAGTATATATTTATTGTCATGGATCCGTGCCTGATTGAAGCCATAGTAGTCTTTAAATGGAATCAGATTTTTGTTATTGTTAGTTATGTAGCTAGTGATGTAGATGTGAAACTCGTCTGATTTTTATTATACAGAAAACAGATGACTATTTTCCATCTTCCTATGGACAACAAAGTTGAGAAAACTTTAATAAAGCATTTCTAGATTGCGTAAAGCAGAATGTGCAGTGCAAGTGGGGTAATATATTAAATGTGAATTAAATAGCTTGTCCTTAAATCATTAAAAAATTATAGTTCAGTATTCAGTTACATAAATGTATAATATTAACTTTTTTGTTTAGTTCAAGGAAGAAATCGCTAAGCGTTTCAAGTCCCACATTGATCAGCTTGTGTTGATATTTGCTGGAAAAATTTTAAAAGATCAAGATACTTTGGCTCAGCATGGAATTCACGATGGACTCACTGTTCACCTGGTTATCAAAACACAAAACAGGTAACCTTACTGATGAGTGATCTTCTTTTTACCTCTCAGAAGTAAAAATACTCTGAATTCTTAATGTGATAGCTTTCTTTTGGGCAAACCTAGATTTAACTAAATCACTTTAATCAGCTCCTTAGTCACAGTTGGTGCAGAATTAACAGTCTGAAGTTACAGTGCTCTTTTCTTTGGTTTATCTTGTATTTTAATTGGAGACATGTTTCTAAATGCAACTGTTCTGCTTTTTTGTTATTTAACTTTTTAGTTTTAGTGCTGAGTGCTGGCTGTATTCTGCTCCATAGGTCTTGGGTATCAGCTCTTACCATCCTTAAAGATATGTTGTGCAGCTTTTCTTTTCAAGCATGTAAACTTCTAGTGAATCCTCACTGTTTTGGTAAAACAAGGAAAGAAAATTTTGGGAGACTGCTTTAGTCTAATTTATCTGGCTGAACAGAAAGACTTGGATTTTAAGATTTTTTTGTTTGTTTGTTTTGGTGAGGCAACTTTAAAACGATGATGAAAAAGTAACATCAGTTGAGCTATGTAATCGGCACATTACTTCCTATGAAGTGCTCAAAAGGAAAAGGCCCAACTAAAAAATCCTTTCAGCAGGTAGGGTAATGTGTTCCTCAGTTGCATCTAGCTTGCTTTGTCAATAATGTATCTGCTGTTCTAGACTGAAAGTGTTTTTGCTCCTCTTCCACTTGTTTCCTGTTTGTGGTGAGGATCTCCTCTTGTGGGAAAATGTCAGATGGTAAAGGAAAGAGCATGGAACTTAGGAGTGAAAAGAAATATGGTTTCCCTTTCCAGGCCTCGCTAAATCACAAAGGCCTATTAGTAACATTAGCATTAAGTGTAGGCACCTGTTGAAATTGATGTCTTCAATTGCATGCTCACATCCTGGTGGGACTATCCTCCTTGTCCTGGAGTCTTGTCTCTGTCAAAGCACTTTTCTTTGCACTGGCAAAGGTCTCCCTTCCCTGCCCTGTGCCTCTCTAGCCTGAAACTTAGGCCTGATAGCCATCCCAATCTTGTAAACAGTATTAGCTAATACTGCAATTTTGTGCTTTGTGCATCTGAACTAGTATTCTGCTGTTGTGACTTCTGCTTTTTTTGGCTGCAGTCTAGAGTGTGGCAGAGCAACTTCATAAGCAATAGTAGCAGCGTGCTCTCGACTTGCGTAGTCTTCAGAGCATTCATAGGTTGGACCTACAATGACTATACATACGGAAATACCAGTGTCACTCTCTTGTACCTTCTTGTACTTTGGCTAAAGGAGCACCCATGCACAATGCCACATTTATGACTTTTGGGGAATTTTTGGTATTCCTGCACCTGTTCTATCAGCATTGCAATCCATGTCTCCTCTCTCTCCCATTTTATTTTTAAAATGGTTGTAGAAGAGTGTATTATGATTAAAACATTCTGAAAATAATAGTGTCTCAGACAATGAAGTGCTATGGAAAACTACAGAACCTTTGCATATATCTACCCTATGCTGAAATGAGGCAGTAATGTTTTCACCTACTAGCTTTGCTCAAATAAACTAAAAATATGCTCCTAAGACCTGCTAAAGAGAATTGTCAGGACAATGAAAATCACCTTTGAGAAAGTATAACATTGTCCTGAACCATCTTAGTAGTATTCTTACTAAAATACCTGGATTTTATGCTTGACCCAAAAGGCAAGACTTAGACCCTGCTGGCGTGGCCTGTCAGGTGCTGATTTTTGGCTATGAGTATCAAGATTGGATTGCTCCCAACCACTTTATGCCATTTACTTTTCTGTTAACTGTTGCTGCCATGTATTTGAATAAACAAAAGTTCTTTTCTTTGCCAAAACTAGATCTGATCTTCCCCTTCTAAATGATATTAGATGTGTAACTTTCAAATAACAATCCTCCTATATTCCAAGCAATCCTTATTGAAAAGAGATAATTTTAATACTATGTGCTACATTTTCCAGAATGATACAGGCTTCCAGTGTAATCTTGTAACCTGGCCTATGCCATGTCAGAGTAGCAGTGAGTGATTAGCAGTGGGCAGTGAAGATGCATTGAATTTCTGAATACAAAGTTCCAAGTCAACAGCTATAATTTGTTCGCGAGTGTCAGGAGGAAACATAATCGCAAAGTGAATATAAAAAATGTGTACTTTACAGGAATTTCACTCACAGACTTGCGGCTGACAGACTTGACACTCAAACTATTATCTTGAGGGTATATACCCCTAATTTCCATAGAAGCACTATGAACTGCGAGTTTTCAGTCTTGTCTACTTTTCTGTGCTACTTTGAGAACCTTTCTTGTCCATTATGTGGAGAAGTACAGTTGCTTCTCAAAATCATTTATCAGTTAAAAAAAAACAGTTAGGGTTTTATACTTTTTTTTTTTTGCCTATGGAGGAAGGATCTATGTGCTTTCTAGACCAAAGGAAACCAAGTATCTCCAGCAGAAGATCCACAGTCAGTATACCGTCTATAATCATCCTCACTGAAGTTACAGCTGCTTAGCTAATGGTAGCTGTCTTGTGTTCAAAGTTCCCAGCTGTTGTTAATGTTGCAGAGTATTAATGCTTGTTCTTCTCAGGAGTTTTACCTAATGCCTTATGGCAGGGCAGCTTATGTCAAAGCCAAGTATCCACGTATTCACTTTCCTGGATTGTTAGTGTTTGTCTGGAAGGTTTCCTCTAGAACAGGTTTTCACTCAACAGTATCTGTATGTATTTTGATAGACCTGAAAGTAAACAAGAAGGGAATACAAATTATAATACATAAAACTGAATTCATAGAAATCACTCTGGACTTAAGTTTTAGAAGAACTGTTAGATCTTGTGGACACATTAATTTCTCCTGCTTCACATACAGAACATCAGTAAGAACTTGAACGAGGTGATTTGATCCCATGACACCATATACCCTCGTGACTTTGGCATGCCATGTTTTATTTACCTATTTACAAGAGCGCTGGTCAAATTAGCAGGGTGGATGGACAACATATAAGCTAGTGTTGATGATTTGGTGAAAGAACTTGGGAAGCGTGCAAAGTATTTCATTGTTCCTTTGGTTTCTGTCTGGTTTTGGTGGCTGATGTTTAGCCTGGGATCAGAGAACTCTTAGAAACCTCACTGAAGCTGCTGGACCTGAGGTGTCTCTTAGGCTTTTTTGCTTGTTTGGGTTTTTATGTTGGGTTTTTTGTTTGTTTTTCCCATCTTTGCTTTAGTGAATTTTACTATAGCTGAAACAAACTCTGAGATAAACTGAGGTATGAAATTTAGTGTACTGTCAAATCCTCAAATCTTTGTATGGGATCTGAATTCATAGTTTCTATAAGCTATTTCATGCTGTAGTTTTGCAAATCAGGCATTTATGAGATTGTTGAATGAGACTGGAGAACTGATCTGGGTTTCAAACTAGCATCTTTTCCTTTGAATAGAGGCCAGGTTAGCTTTACACGAGCTCAGTTCCTTGATCTCTTTTACTACATGGCAGCACCTGTGTTTATGCCTATGCAGTAGAAAGGTGTGGTGAGTATATGACTTGAGCAACCTTTAGTGCCTGTGCTAAATTATGCTGGTTTTAACTTTGTGTAACTGTGTTTTCACCCTGTTCTTAAAGTCTTAAAGGTTATTGAGATTTCTGATACTTGTCTTCTAATGAAATAAGACATTAACTGAATTTCACATTCAGGTAGGCATCCTATTAAAGATGTGGCATGAAATAAATCTGGCATTAAATCTTGCTAGGCTTTATTTCTTCAAGCCCCAGGCATGTAATCAGTAGTATTTGAGTATACCTGAATAAGGCAAGGATCCTTAAAGCAAGGTAAGGACAGAGGAAACAATTCATTGGTGAGCATCCTGGGACTACAGTGGGAAGGTGGTAATGGGTAATGGCAGCGGTGCCCATCCATTTTCTTACTGTTTCAAACTGTTCTGAATAACTGATGACATTACAGATATCTGAGAAAGATTTGTTACAGGAAGCCATCTAGAGATAATAGTGTGATTTTTGAGGAAGAATCAAAATGTAAATTAAGATTCTTGAATATGACACTATTCCTGTATTTAATGGCATTATTTAAATTAACTTGTTAAACTTGCAACTTTTAAACTTGGGGGTTTTTTTAGATCGCAAGACCACCCAGCTCAACAAGCAAACACCACTGGGAGTACTGCTACCACATCAACATCAAGCAGTAGTACCTCAACACCGTCTTCAACAAATAGTAACCCTTTTGGCTTGGGTAAGAATATTTGTTAGGTAGCATGGTGGGTGTCTTCTCTTGGATTCAGGTAATTGTCCTTGAAGCTTTATTCTAATGTAGGCAGAACTTAAAAAAAAACCAAACAAACTACCCAGAAAACTGATTACAGATATCTATGGTATTGGTTGTAGAAGGTTTCTGATCAGTAAGTTATTTCCTTAAAAGTTGTTTCTTTAACTTTATATGAAGAACTTCAGACTTGTGCTATTTCACCTTCAGTAGCAAGGTGCCACTGACATTATATTCTGGCACTATGGGTAATGAAACTCCTTTCAATGAAACTTCCTTCCTTATGCTCCTTAAAAGTGCATCTGAGTTGCTGTGAGGAGAGTGTTGATAAAGTTGTACCTGTAACACAAAGCCAAGATCTGGAACACAAGTAACAAAATTACTGCTAATCTCAGAATTCAGTATTTGTCAGGTTCCAAGTCTGATAGCATTATCAGTCTTCTCTTTCATGAATAAAGAGGCTGCAGTTTATTGGCTTAAAAATACTATTACCATAATCACAGTAGGTTTTGGTTCTTTTTTTCATGTCATTTGCTTTTGTAGGGCAGGGGAGAGGTAGAATTGGAAAGCTAACAATAGTAAGCAATTGCTTTTTTTCAGCATAAACTGTACTTCAGATTAACCAGTACCTTCTGCAAATTTTTGTTTGAACTCAAAAAAGGGGAATTCAAAGCATGATTAGTTCTTGGTGCATTACTAAGAGCAGCAGCTCTACTTTTAATTAGAATAGGGAATATGAGTGATATTGGGAGATCTCTCTTGGTTATAGTCTAACCAAGAGGAGACAGATACATTATTATTATAAATGCATTGGAAGGTGTTGGGGGCAGGCAGAGCCAAAACTCTAACATCCCTTGTATCTTAGCTGTGGAAAATGAGAAGAAAAGCTGTTACAGTTGTAACAAGTTACATTTCAGATGCAGTTTGGATTTTTAGTTATGTGTCTTGTTATTTAAAGAAGAAAATTCTTAGTGGATAACTCCTTAACAGCCTTGCAAAGATAGGAGTTTTCATTCTTTTGAAGTGTGTGCTATGTTCAAGTATTTTATATTTAGAAAGAACCTGGATGTGTTTAGAAGTATACTAGAAGCTCAATTTTATTTTTTCAAAAATTTCAATTTTATTTTTTTCATCCTCTTAAAGGTGGCCTTGGAGGTTTGGCAGGTCTGAGTAGCCTGGGCTTAAATACCTCCAACTTTTCAGAGTTGCAAAGTCAGATGCAACGGCAACTTATGTCCAACCCAGAAATGATGGTTCAGATAATGGAAAATCCATTTGTTCAGAGCATGCTTTCAAATCCTGACCTGATGAGGCAGTTAATTATGGCTAACCCTCAAATGCAGCAACTGATACAGAGAAATCCAGAAATCAGTCACATGCTGAATAATCCAGATATAATGAGACAGGTATGTAGAAGGATCTCTTTAAGTTCATGACCTTTGGTTATACTGTAACTGTGAACAACAGAGCAGGAATTGGACATGCTTAGATGAGTGCTTAAACATTCTTGAAGTATTTAGACTTCTTAGAAAATCCATAAAAGGTTGCTGTAGGCAACTGATGTTTGTATTTGTAGTCGTTAATGTCTGAAATTAGACTGATAATTCAGAAAATCTGCGGCATAGTTTTAAAAAACATTGAAGACTGTGTAATCATGTCTTCTGAGGTTAGAGTCGGATGTCCCTATGTGCACTTGAAACTTTCTGCCGTCTAGCCAACAATGAGTTTATGTAAGTAGTAATTCTCCAAAATACTACACATTTTAATTTTATCTAACTGTGAGTACTTCTGAGTGCTTTTAAAATTAGATGGTACATAAGATACGCTGTGTGGCAGAAGGTATCAAAACCAAATGGATACTTTTGAAAATGTAGATATTTATTTTAAACTTCATATTATAGACTACCTACTGTAACAGTGTTAGAAATGGTAGGAGTGTAATTGTGTTGAAAAGATGAAGAAAGAAAATAATCATTCAAGGTTTTTCTTCTGTTTAGCCAGTGCTTCCTGACCCAACCAGCGTGGTGACGGTTGTGGTAGAATGCTGGCTAAATATCTAATTCAGTTGAGTCCCACTAAGGTGACAATTTGATTTGACTTTAACCATAATTTGAAACTAGGTTAGACAGTGGTAACTGACATATTGCCAATGCTGATGTTTTCACTTTAGAACGGATTTCTTATTAATATAGATTAAATGTTCTACTTCCCTAGACACTAGAACTTGCTAGAAACCCTGCAATGATGCAGGAAATGATGCGAAATCAAGACCGAGCCTTGAGCAACCTTGAAAGTATACCAGGTGGATACAATGCCTTGCGACGTATGTACACAGATATTCAGGAGCCAATGTTGAATGCAGCACAGGAACAGGTGAGAAAAAATTGCAAATGCACTGAAAGTAAATATTTTAAAAAAAAAAAAAGCATAAGTAATGTAAGTGTCCAAATGTGTACTTGACAAAACAATTCTTGAAGCTTGAAGTCACTGTGGCCTTTTAATCTTGAGAGGAAAGATCTTTAAAAATTCCACGTTCTTCTAAGCTTGAAAAAATACAGATATCGCTTTGTGTGTTTGAAAAGCAATTTAAAGTTAATGAATTTCTGTATTACTTAAACTTGAATTCCTTTAATTCTTTGCCTTAAAATTCTGAGTGCCAGGAAAATTTTTTTAAGGGTGTGGTTAGTAACTTGGAACCTAAGATGAGATGGAAAAAGGATTTGAATTTGGAAACCAGAATGCAAGATATAATCTTACTGTGATCAAAACACCAGTGTAGTAGCAACACTGCTTTCAAAAAGAAATGTGATTTAATTTTTTGGAGGTGCATCTGTCAGTATCGTCACCACCTTTTCAGAATATTTACAATGAATTACTGTAGGATAGTGAGTATAACTGATGAAGACCCATCAACATTTGTCTTCGTGTGTAATTTTGGAAAGGTAACTTGCTATTTATAGCAGACTTAAAACCAGTTGGCTTTAGTAGATGATACAGGTTTGCTTTCCTTCTTCTGTAGTTTGGAGGTAACCCATTTGCTTCTTTAGTAAGCAATGCATCAACAGGAGGGGACAGTCATCCATCCCGTACAGAAAATAGAGATCCTCTACCAAATCCCTGGGCTCTCCAGTCCAACTCGCAGATTTCCACAACAAGTACCAGCACCAGTGGCGAGAGCGGTGGCAGTAGTAGCGATGGAAATAGCACCTCTGGCCGTACAGGACAGAGCTCAACTGCACCAAATTTGGGACCTGGACTAGGAGGTGTGTTTGTTATTGCACTTCTATATATGTGAACATACTTGGAGTTTGCTGAGATGATTCTTTCGTTAGAAAGATTTTTTGATTCAGAGTTTTTTATTGCTATTTACTTTCATAGACATTTGACTGGTATCAAAGTCCTCTGTAGAAAAACAAACATGAAAAGTAGACTAAGAGTGGTAATAGTACTTGTGTATTGCCTTAAAATAACAAAGGTAGGGAATCTCTACATGAATGGTAATATTTTTGCTGTTTGGAGGCAAATGTGAAAACAGCTAATAATGTAGATGCTAAGTGGGACTGCTTGTGGGATACAGCCTCTGTCTTAACTTGTAGGGTAGATGTGTGTGGTGGGTTGACCCCAGCTGCAGACTAGG